TTTTAGTCTATTTGTTTGTTTTGTATGACCAATCCAAAATAGTAACCATAAGGGTAGTGTCTGATTGGTTTGAGTTTGGTTTTCAAAAATCAGAAGTGTCCGGAGGTCCCAGGTTCACATCCAAGGATGAATAAAAATCTTCTTGTGATATGGAGGTTCAAATGCGATAACTTTTTTTTTATTAACTTGGATATCCAACCCACTATGCGAGCCGACTAATCCCAGGACGACCACCTGCTTTGCAGATAGCCCGGAGCTACCGCATCTGAACATCCGTGGTCACAAGGGGATTTTTATTCCTCCTTGGATTTAAACCTGGGAACTCCAAGTACTTTTGATCTATGGAGCCAAGCTCAAACCAATCAGGCACCACCCTTGTGGTTAAATGCGATAACTTTGGGTTACTTGCAAAGCAGGTTGTTGCACTATGATAGTCGGCTTGCGTTAGCGCGTTGGATATCCAGGTTAATCAAAAAAGAAGTAACGCTTGGATCTATTAAAATGATGAAGTCAATCAGTTTATGTCATGCACAACACACATGACTGCTTTTCAATAAATTCTGGTTTCTTCGATGTATTATTTTCCAGTCGTTATCATCAACTAAAGAAGAGGTTGAAAATAAAGACGATATACGTTGAAGCAAACAAATAGACTAAAACGCCCTTGAAAAAGTAAGATGTTATGCAAATGACTTGATTGGGTGGTAACTTTCTTTTTAATGAATAAAGTTGGTAACCTCTTTTTAATGAATAAAAAAAAGCTAAATAACAACTATTTTGAACCAATAATACCAAAAAATATAGTTTAGAGATGTAATTAATATTCCAAAAAAAGTACTCTTTCATTTTAAATACACCAAAATGTATGATTTGATACATTAGCTAATACTTTTTTATATTAATAAAATGACTAAAATACCCTTTATAAAGATAAAACCTGAAAAAAGCTTATGGATCATAATCAAGGGCATAATGTTTTTTTGAAGGGCATGCCAATAATATTAAAATGAAACAGTGGATGTACAAGAAAGAAAGACCAATGATTTTGTGAGAAGTAGATGTAACATCCCAACTCCCATCTGCATAAAACACATATATTCCATATAACAAGAAATACAAATATACACAAATGGCTACATACAAAAGTAGTTACAAATTTTTCGTTTATCTAAAGCACATGACTTGTATATATATATATATATAAAGCACATTCTCAAGTACATGCATAAACTTAGCTTCCCAAAATCCATAGATGAGACAACCAATTTCATTGCATCAAACCCATGAAGTACCAAACTTGTCGCATTAAACACATAACTCACCAACTTGTCGCATCTCATTGATGCGATAACACATTGTGATAACCGGGTTATTCGTTATAATATTCGGGGTTATTTTTGAAAGAGATGGTAAGTAGAGGGGTTTAATGTATCAATGTGCTTAAAATGTTTTAAACTCCCACCGCCTCATGTTTGTTAATTCATGTTAAATGTGATATTTGTTTTATCTCATTGGAAAGGTAAAAAACTTAAAAGGAAGAAAGTGGGTAAATTGAGGGGATTAAATGTGTTTACTTGCTTTAATAATTTAAAAATCAATCCCACCACCGCCTCTTATTTGTTTATGGGTGGATATATGAGATGTTAACGTTATCTCATTGATTTTGGTAGAGAAAAAGATAATGAAGTTTTTCTCTGTGTGTGTGTTCTCTTGTGTGCGAAGCAAACATAACTAAAAAGGGAAGAATTAGAAGCTGGTCTCTGTGATTATTATCTGAATCTTTGTTGTTGTTATATGCTTCTCTGTAAATCCAAGTGAGTTTAATTTTATGAATTTTCCTTATTTGGAAATTGGGTATAGAACCATATGATTCTTTATATGAGATTATGTTAAGGAATTGTTTTGATGCAATTATCGGCAAAATTGTGGATTTTTGTTATGATTTCATCTTGTGTGGAAATAAGGGTGTCATATCAAAGAGAATTATATTGAGATAAGGGTGACGTATTAAGGAGATGTGTATACTGGGATAAGAGTGACACATCAAGGATAGGTGTATACCAGGATAAGAATGACATAATCATGAAATTGTGAAATTTGGGTTTTTGATCACATTCATATTTATCGCATCCTATTGATGCGATGAAGTGAACACTTGTTATAAGACTAGAGAGTCTCTGGTTGGCTTTGCCTTTGGTTGATAAGATCAGAACCTCTGGTTGATAAGACCAGATGGGCTCTAGTTGGTCTTGCCTCTAGGCTATGATGCGACAAGTTATATAAATTTCTATATGATGCAACATTTTTTTACCCATGAAGTGTTTCAAATTATTGGGTATTTGGATGCCATAAATGAGGTTTGTATATCAAAATGATATATATTTGTTATAAATATGAGTTTGTAAATATGATTTGGTGATTTTCACCGTGTAATTGCTTCAAAGAGATTTATCACTAGACCTCAAGGTCTAACTCTCATTTTGTATTTTAAAAATGTTCATTACAGGACGAGCACAATCTGAGGTTAAAGGGAAAGGGAAATTGTAAGAAGTTTTATATGCTTACAAGGGATATAGAGGATATCATGCTTATTTGTTGTTTTCTGATACTTGTTATCTATACAAGTTTTGTATGGGGACTTTGTGAAAAAAGTTGATTTGATATTTTGTACTATAGCTTTTATAAGAGTTTGGAACCGAATGTGTAAATTATATTTCTTGATAGATGAAAATATATGTTTATATGCAAAAATGTGAACTTGGGGTATTACACACATTTTGTTGCATCCAACAGACGCGATCATCTCAATTTATCGCATCCAACAGATGCAATAAACTCACTTGTCACACCATAAGGATGTTTTAACAACATCTGTTGCATCACACTAATGCGATAAACAAACTTGTTTGATATTATTTTAACAAAACTAAAAACTATGTGATAACTGGGTTATCAGTTATAAAGTTCGGGGTTGTTTTTGAAAAGTGATGAAAAGTTAAGGGGGTCAAATTGTTTAAGTGTTTAAACTCTTTTAAAACTACCATTGGCTTATTTGTTTATATGGGTTTTAATTGAGATATTTGTATTATCTATTGGGGATTTGGTGAAAAAGCAAGTAAAAAAAAGGAGGTTTTCTGTGTATTCTCTGAAGTGCGAAACAGAACAGAAAACCAAAGAAGAACCTAGTAGAAGCTGGATTATGTGATTCACTAACTGAATTTGTTGTTATACATCTTCATATCAACATCTCTGTGTGATTCTATAAGGTGAGTTTATTTTTACAACTTTCATCGTATTATGTTGAATTGGAACCGTAGGGTTCTTTACGTGAGGATGTTATAAAAACTGTATTTATGTTATGTATAGCATAATTTGATATTTTGATATGTTTATATCAAATAATTGGAATAAGGGTGACATAATCTGGGGAGGTGTATTTTAGGATGGATGACATAATCAGAAGAGGTGTATTTTGGGATAAATGTGACATAATCAGAAGAGACGCATATTGGTATAAGGATGACATAATCAATAGAATGTAACCAAAGGGTCTTCGGCCTAGCGGTATCGTAGCCCTTGCCTTCCTAGGAGGTCAAGGGTTCAAACCTCACCAAAGGTGAGAAAGATGTGTGAGTTTATTTGTTGCATTTGCCGTATATAAATATTATATATTTAAAAAATAATAGAAGGTAAAAAGTGGGGTTTTGATCAAGTTGTTAACTATTGTCGTATCCTTATGATGCGATGACTTGAGTTATCGCATCCTATTGATGCGATGAGTGACTTTTATCGCATCCTTGTGATACGAGAAAGGAAATTTAAAATTGACTTGTAGCATCTTATTGATACGACAAGTTGGGTTTATCGCACCTATATGATGCGGTGAGATGGGGTTCTTGCATCAGTGTGTTGCAAGAAAATGGGGTTCTCTCACACATGTGATCCAAGAAATTTATGAATTTTAATTATATGATGCGATGAGTTTTATCATAATAAATGAGTTGTTTAGTTGTTTGATGTGATAACCGAGTAATATCTCATTCTTTTGACGCGACAAAAGAGGTTTGTTTTATTAAAATAAAGGTTTATAAAAGTGCTTTGGTGATTTTTCACACTGTAATAGCAAACAAAGAGATTTCTCACTAGAATTCAAGGTGTAACCCTCATTTGTATTTCGAACTGTGCATTATAAGTCGGGTACAACCGGATGATAAAGGGAATGAAAAATTGTAAAGAGATTATATTTGCTTACATAAAATTATGAAATTAAGTGTTATCTTTAGTGTTTGAATACTTGTTACATATACAAGTTCTGTATAGAGATTTTGTGGAAAAATCTGATAGCTACTTTTGTAACATAGCTTTTGTAAATATTGAAACAAAATGTGTAAATTATATTTCTTGATATATAAAAATATATGATTATATGTAAATGTGATAATGGGGTGTTACAAACTATTTGTAACAGACTAAAAAGTTCTTAAAGTAAAAAGAAATCTAAATTGGTTTTATCTTTCCCAAAGCCTAATGAGCCGTTTACTAAACCCTAAACACTTTTTTGGTAAGTGTTTACCGGATAAATTTCCTTATCGGATGAACATGAGAATGACCAAAAATCTTACAGGGTAAGAGCGATGATAATGATAGAGAGTTGTACCCACTAAGTGAGGATGATGACTATTACCCAGGTAAGCGCTTACCCAACAAATTGTTGCATTCAATATGTTTTGATGTACTAAAATCTTGCGCATCAAAATAAATCATAATGTTGACTCCTATCTGTAAACACTTACCGGATAAACAATTGGGTAAACGGCCCCTAAGCTTTTCAAACCCTTTGCAAACAACGGTATCATAAGTTGATTTAAAAAAATAGTTAAAGGGTATAATAATTCAAAACCTTTTCTTTTTCTAAAAAAGGATTTTGAAGGGGTATTTATGACATTTTAGCTGGGAAGCCATGACTATACCATGAGGACAGTAGAATAATTCAAATGATTGCACGTCATTTTGTCGTTGTTTCTACGCTATATTTATCTCCTCTTCCTCCTCCCTACGATTATCGAACTCCAACCGCTGCTTTTCTACACAAATCACAGAAATCGGAGCAAATCCAGCTACAATCGGAGCAAGATGTCGTGGCAAACTTACGTCGATGACCATTTGATGTGCGAGATCGAAGGCAATCATCTCTCCTCCGCCGCCATCATCGGACACGACGGCAGCATCTGGGCCCAATCAGCCACCTTCCCTCAGGTCTAATTTGACCTAGTTTTTTTTCCTTAATCTAATAGGTTTTAGTTTGTTTCACTTCGATTTAGCTTTGGATCTGATCCAAATCGCTACTGTTTTTATGAGTATCTGATTTTGCAGACTGAAATCGTTGTGTTGTGTTGTCCTTAGTTGATTTATTTGATCTGGTTAGGGACCTTGAGGATGTGGTAGCTGTGAATAGTTGTGGTGTTCTAAAGTCGCTAAGTGTTTTTGTTCATGTTAGGGTGTAGAAGTTTTGTTTGTTTTGAGCTAATTTTATTTAAAATCTGATTAACTTGGTTTAAAATCATGGCGCCATTAGACACGCATAAATGTTAACTTGATCTGGACGTTTGACTTAATGGAAGGATGTAGAATTTCTGGATCGGAATAAGGCTGAATGAGAAATTATGATTAATGCTTCACTTTCAATGGAGAAAAGCTCGTTGGATGAGAAGATCAATGATTAGTGCCTTGGGTGAGATGCATGACGACATAAACATTTTAAACTGAAGATGAAATGACAGAAAAATTTGGGAACCATATATCACTTCAATGTTTGTGAAGGCTTTTGTAGATGGAATTCAGGAACAGATTGCCAAATAATCATATTTGATGCAATATGATCTATAACTATATGCACATTAATCAATTCATATTCTCAAATTGGTTGCCATTTTGTTGGTCAAAATTGCAGTGGATTGAGCAAGTCAAAATTAAGAAGGTATCTCTTGGAAAATTAGTTGAATATTGTAATCTCTTGGACAATTAGTTGAATATTGTAACAAAGAAAAATATTTTTTAGGAAAATTTTGTGTTATTGTTGTTGTACTGATGAATTAAATTGTCAACATGGTCATTTGGCACAGTTGAAAAGGGTTTGACTCTAAGTATAGCCCCCTATTTTGTCACTCTAGATGTTTTATGTTCTACCCCTTGTTGAAACCAACATCCATTTTTCTACTGCAGGTCAAGCCTGAGGAAATAACTGCTATTATGAATGACTTCAATGAACCTGGCTCACTTGCTCCAACTGGCTTACATCTTGGTGGGACTAAGTACATGGTTATTCAAGGCGAGGCAGGAGCTGTGATTCGAGGGAAAAAGGTGATGAATTCACATTGTTCTTGATCTGATAACTAACAATATACAAACATGTTCTTCAGGTATAGATTGGTTTTTCTAGTGCAAGTGCATAAATGGTTTTAGAGATATGTTGTTTTAGATTTCAAAACTCGTGTAATGTGCATTTACCGGTCATTTTTAAACCACGGATTACGGATATATTGAATAATTATCTTCAATTTGGTAGGAAGTCTCTGTTTCCTATTCTACGCACATCACTATGTTTTATCATAAATTCTCTTTCAAGCTTATCTTGAACAATGCATACTCTTAAGTTTTGCAATACATGGTTTTACTTGACAGAAGTTTTGCACCGATTGTGCTTATAGTGGCTATGTTTTGATTCGTGTTTTACCTTGTTACGTTGTGTGCTTGCACACATGATTGAATCGTTATTCTACTTGTTATATTTCATGGTTACATGTTATATTACCTATCTTATTGCATGCTTGCACACATCTTGCGTCGTGCATAAGGGGGTCTTCACTGTAACAACCCTTCCAGACCCTACTTTCAAGTGGGATGTACTGATCGTGTGGTTTCGTTTGGTTTGATTTACGTTTTGACCCATGTTATTCTGCTTACATACAGGGACCTGGAGGTGTTACTATTAAAAAGACGGCAATGTCTATTATCATTGGTCTCTATGATGAACCCATGGCTCCAGGCCAATGCAACATGATTGTCGAAAGGCTTGGTGACTATCTCCTGGAACAGGGTTTTTAATACGCATTCGTACGTCTTCCCCCCTCCCCTTTTCATTTTTCCAACTTTTACTTCTTCGTTTGCTTGGGGTGTTTTTGGTACACGGGACAAAATATGATAGAACAAAAACCTGTTATCCCACGTTTAGCTCAATAATTTGACTCGGATAGAACAAACAAAAATAAAACCCAATTCTATATATTGATTAATTTATGTCATTCGTTAAATATTAATAATAAAAATAATATAGAAACTACATAAACTTTTTACTTTTGTATCATTTTAATCGTATTGACGAAAACGTTCCAAGATATATTTTGTTATAAAAAATATTTATTTTATTATAATTTAATAAATTACATAAATTAATCAAAATATGAAATATATAAACAAGTCATTAGAGGTAAATTGGTCATTTTATCTGTCTAGTCTAGTCTAGTCCTATCTTACCAAACTTTGAACAAACTGTCGTGTTCTGTATGGATACCAAACGCAACCTCTAGAACATTCCACACTTCTTGTCATTTCGATGCTCGACTCTTGTGGGTCCCGTACCAAATGCACCTCAAACCGGATGATCTTAATAAGTTTCTAATATGGTGATGTTATTGCAGGGAAGAAATGATACAGTAATAGTAATTAAAGTTGTGGAAAGCTCCTGGAGTTGTAAACCAGGTGGCAAATGGTGCTTGATAACAGATATAAACGATTCTGAATGAATTCCCCTTGTGGTGTTATCCTCTCATCTTGATCAAGTGTGATGGATACTTGTTTACTTTGTTTCTGGAGTGGTATTTCTTGGATATGTTTTTGATTGGTTTTGGATTAATATCATTACTTACACCTCTCTCTCTCTTTTTTCTCACTTCACCTCTTGATTTTTTGTTTGCAAAAATGGCATTCAAGTTAACCCAAATTGGTTTGGGAACAGATTTTATGGACTCGTGCTGGTCCGGTCGCACCCCATGGTTAAGTCGGGGTTTGGTGGATCTAGTCTAGAGATGCACAAAAAACCTCAAATTTGAACCTGGGTCCAGGCCGGCCTAACCCTGACTTGAAAAAGTTTGGGCCTAGTGAGCCGAAGCATGGGTTAGGTATGCCGAAATTTTGGGCAGGACTGGTTTGAAAAGGCTGAATGTGGATTTTTCCACGCCCTGGTCCATGACTAAAAAAAACTCGGACCTTTTTCTTTTATTCAGGGGGTGTTTGGTTTCTGGTTAGATGTATTAAACAATAATCAATAGGAATATATATATATATATTAAAAGAAGAACCATGAGTGTTTGAGGTGACATCATGAGAATAGTGTATTGAGGTCTTGGTGAATTGTGGTTGAATTTGAGATATTCCACATTGGTGAAGGGTTGAAAGATTTGAAGAAACTGAAGTGTATAAGAAAGGTGGATTGGATGTCTTTGTGTCAAATAATAATAAAAGAAATTGTTTGGTTTTATATAATATAACGAGTTTATTTCTCCAGAAGTCTACATTTTTATTCCAGGTTAGATTTTGGGGGAATGAATTTTCTCATTTCCTTCTGCGATCGGAACCAAGCCGGCCTTGCCTTCGCCTTTAAAAGTCCATGTCTTGTGCATTTCTTAACTAGTCCGTCTTTGGTATAAATAAGCCATTTTTAATTGACAACCTAACCGATAAATTAATTATGTTTGGTAAAAAATGTGTGATAAATTAAATAACGATATAAAATGACAAAAAAAATTGACAATTTAAAAAAATATTTGAATAATTACAAGGGGCGTGATTAAAAAATGTAAAAATAAGATAAGGGGCCGTTTACCAAAGGTAAAATTTAACACTATTATTTACTTACCGGGTAAGATTTTAGTCTATCAAAACGATATTATATGCATTTTAGTCTATCAAAACGACATTGTATGCAACAATTCACCCGGTAAGCGCTTACCRTGGTAAGAGTCGTCGCCCTCACTTACCGGGTAAGACTCATGGTCCTTGTCTCGCTCTTACCGGGTAAGATTCTTAGTCCTTATCACATTCATCCAGTGAGGTAATGTGACTTGGTAAGCGCTTACCCGGGTAAGTGTTTGGTAAACAGCCTCTAAATCTCCGAAACCATATTGAAACGTTACTTATTGTGTTAGGTTAACATGGCCTTAATGTGACCGCTCAATTTTTAGAGAATCTTTGTGATTATGTTCTCGAGTTAGATTGAGACCGTTCAATTCTGTATGTTTATATTCTACCAAATTTATCTGATAAAACAGGTTTTATCCTACATATTATAAGCCGATTCTAAAGCATTTTTTTCGATAAAAATATTGTTATGTAAGATTTGACTCATCCATCTTATCAATAATTTCAAAATTTATAGGTTAACAGTCAAAATAAGTACGAAATAAAAAAGTCAGAGATGTTTGCTGGTTGTTACATTAATTAAGAAAAAAAATCATTATCGCACTAAATAAAATATTAAAGTAGACACTGTTGTATTTTGGCAGATAAATATTTAGGTATTTTTTTTATCAGTATAATTGATATGTAATTATCTCATCAAACTGATGTATTCAATGTTTAATTTTTTTTTTAGATTTTGAGCTCTACACATGTATTGAATATATAAGAGATTTGGGTTACTTGATATTCATAACATTGTTTATGGTACCACGGAAGTTCAAATGCGGTGACTTCAGGCTATCTGCAAAGCAGGTGATCGTCCCGGGATTAGTCGGCTCGCATAGCGGGTTGGATATTCAGGTTAATAAAAAATTGTGTAAAAAAACAACAACGTTTCTTATTTTTCTTCTTTTTATCGTCTCCAAACTAGAATAAAATGTTGGCAAAATTAATGGTCATTCATTGTATGTAAGAATAGACCATGATCAGAAGAAGATGTCTTCGTCAATGTAGTCGAAACCAAAAGCAATATCGACGACCCAATACGATAAGTGGCACATGTTAGTCCATATTCATGGTATCGAATCAGTGGGAAACCCGATAACTCTATTACCTTTGCGGTGAAAGAAAATGTAATCTATCATATTGGTGCAACCGAATAATGCTGCATCTATAACACTTTTCATTGCAGTGTTGTTTAACAAAAAAGTTCAAATCCACCTAATTTATTCTCGTAGTTATGATTATCACTGTTCAATTGATTTTGGCAAAAAGTTGATTACTAGCAACTCTAATTAGGCCCACACAAAACCCGCCTTTAAAGACACCAATATGAGGTGGCGTTTTTTTCGATGGTTAAGACAGCAAGGAAATGAGCAAGGGATCAACCCCAGAAGCCAGAACCTGTCTTATATTTGGGCAAAGTCGTCCACCCTTTTACTGTTGTTCTATTTATAATACTTCTTTATATTTGCTTATCATATTTTGTCATTTATAATGTATATTTTTTATCCTAGAAGATTTCATTTATCAAATTGGTTTTTTTCTGGGACCAAAATGATAAGAAAACTACTATAGGATGGTAATATGTAATAAATCTTTAGTTTGGGGGCTGGAATGGATATATGTAATAGTTAAGGGGCTATTTTTGTAAAGAATCGTTTGATGTTTTGGCGGTCTTCTTTATTTGAATTTTGTTTATTACTTTCCATGGCGTCGGTTGGCAGCTTACCCATTCCCCATTATCATTCTCTCTCCATTTCACACACACACACAGAGTTGAGAGAAACCCTAATCCTAGTTGCAACACAATGAAGGGTATGAAGCCATTGAAGCAGCTCAAGCTCTCCGTTCCTGCTCAAAATGCTCCAATTACAAGCTTCTTGTAAGTTGAAATACGATCTCTTTCTGAATTTTGAACTAAGATACGGTTTCGTTGTTGGTTTGATTCGTAATTGTGTTCGGATCATGTGAAGCCCTAATTGAAGAAGTTCATGATCTCATTTATGTCAGATATAGTTTTGCGGTTGTAGTATCTGATGGTTATAGTGGATTCATAGGACAGCGAGTGGGACGTTTCATGATGGAGATTTACTTCTAAATATGAAGGGATTAAGACTCGAGTCTGAGGATAAGGAAAATCGTGTAAGTTTCTGATGGTTCTCCATTCAATGGAGTTTACAGATTATTAACGTCTGATACTCTGATCTAGTAAACTAGATCTTATTTGGGAAATTTGATCTGCTTTAATTTTTCATTTTTAAATCCAAATTATCTGTATGATCGTTAGATAAAAGCTTATTTTTGGGTTGCTATTTGGACAGGCATCTGATGCTAAGGAGATTGATCTGCAATTTTCATTGGAAGACCTTGAAACCATCAAAGTTATTGGAAAAGGAAGTGGAGGTGTTGTTCAACTGGTTCGACATAAATGGATTGGGACATTGTTTGCTTTGAAGGTCAGATTATTATAAACTCAGTCCCGTTTGCTTGGTTTTCTAAAGTTTTTCATGGATTAATGTCTTTATAGATCGGAAATGAGCGTATGAGCGTGTTATTTTAATTGAGAGGGGCGGGTTTGGAAAAAAACTTGGCTTTGGCTTTTCTGCAGGTTCGGAAAAAACTTCGTTTCTGCATAAGCTTCCTCAGAAGTTTACTGAATAAGCCACTTTCCACATTATTAAGCCATTACCAAACAGTCGGTATTAGTAGCATGTAGATAAATCGGTATACTTGATATATCAATTGAAGCTAATACGAATATGGAGCAAAAAGAGATCATAATGTGAGATTATGTGAAACCCTTATTGGATTACTCTCAGAAAAGAGCTTTTGCATAGAAGGGATGTCCAACATATATTGAGGATAGAAAGGATGTCCAACATATATTGAGGATAAATGGTCCAAGTACAGCTTAGCTGACAAAGATTGTCCCTGAGTGTCAAGTCCCTAAAATGGTAGATCTTGGCTCTTGTATTATATCAGAATACGTGACAACCCATTAGATTACTCTCTAATAGAAGTCTGGGAGAGAGATTCCAACATATATTAAGAAAAATGGTTAAGATCTAGCCGATGTGGAAATTGAACACATAGATACAAGTTTATTCACTATGGCCAGCGAGGAAGAGCCCAAAAAAAAAGTAGTAGAAAAAATGGGTACTTAAGAAAAGTTGTAGAACAGTGAACCATGCTAGCTAACTTCAAATCCTAAATCAATGTTCAACTAGTCAAACTAGGAACTGTTTAAAGCCGCCATGTCTAACCTCAGTTGCTCATCCCACGTCCTCTTCGGCCTGACCTCTATGTCCATTTGATGATGCACCATAATCCCTTCTGATAAGTTAAGTGGATCTGCATTCTTAATTTGTTATAACTTTCAAGTCCATGGATGGTGGTCACAGGTAATCCAGATGAACATACAAGAGGATATACGTAAACAGATTGTGCAGGAGCTCAAAATCAATCAAGCTTCTCAATGCCCTCATATCGTTGTCTGTTATCACTCTTTCTACCGCAATGGAGCCATCTCTCTTGTTTTTGAATATATGGACCGTGGATCTTTAACAGACGTGATTAGACAACTCAAGACGATTCTTGAACCATATCTTGCAGTTGTCTGCAAACAGGTTAGTGGATGTTTAACAGTTTACAGTATAGGGGTGGGTTTATTTGAGAACCGTATATATGTTGAGAAACTAGGAACCAAAATCTTCATAATGAATAATTATGTATATTCATTATGAATATGCTGGTTCCTTGGTTATCAAATCAATATAGTATTTCCTCTTGCACCATTTAGCTAACTTGAGTTTCCATTTAAGACAACTTTTTCACTGCTTGAAAGAAAAGTATAAGATCATCAAAATGTTTATCACAGGTATTGCAGGGTCTTGTTTATCTGCACCATGAAAGACATGTTATTCACAGGGACATTAAGCCATCTAACCTACTTGTTAACCAAAAAGGGGAAGTAAAGATCGCAGATTTTGGTGTAAGTGCAATGCTCGCAAGCTCCATGGGTCAACGAGATACATTTGTTGGAACATACAATTACATGTCGGTAAGTCCACTTCTCATGGATTACTTGTCTTCAGAAAATAATTGGTATGTTTGGCAACTACCTGTTAAGCTAATTATTAGCTGAAAAACTAGTTGTTTTGGCTAATAAGCTAGCTGTTAGCTGATATATTAGTCAAGTTTGGTAAAAACTAGGCGTTAAGTTAGATGACAATGTAAAATTATCTAAAAGGATATGTTGAAGAATTAATTGGAAAGATATAAGGGGCATAATTGAAAAAAATGGAAAAAAACCATGAAAGCTTATTGAAACACTGCTTGAAGTAGTTTTTCGGAAAGCTAGTTTATGGCTATCCGTACAAGTGTTTTTCAATAGATTAAACTAAAAAATAAGCATGCTTATGGTTGCCAAATATGGCCCAAATCTAGTTATCAAGCATGCTTGTGGTTGTTTTATATATTGTTCATGATATTTAGAACACTCAAGATTTCTTGAATGAGAACTGATCCTCATTATGATCATCAATCTTTCCTTTAGCCTGAAAGAATCAGTGGGAAAACTTATGATTATAAAAGTGACATCTGGAGTTTGGGCCTGGTGATCCTGGAGTGTGCTATAGGACGATTTCCCTTCATACAATCTGAAGATCAGCAAGGTTGGCCAACTTTTTATGAGCTCTTAGAAGCCATTGTCTCAAAGCCACCACCAACCGCTCCACCGGATCAATTTTCCCCAGAGTTCTGCTCGTTTGTCTCTGCATGGTACGTCGAAACTCAAACCTACCAATCATCATTGGCTTCTTGATAACCTTACTCTTATGTGGATCATAGATAAAGCTCAAGTTTAAACCATGAAACTTCATCATCAAAAGTACTTGAAGTTCATATATCATATTGGGAGAATTTGTGGAATCCAAAGAGCTTTGAGGAAGAGAATGGGTGTTCCAACACATAGACTTTCTTAGGGTGGTTGACATATGTGGAACCCATTAGATTACTCTTTAAAAGAAACATTACGGGGAGAAAGAGGGTTCCAACATATGTACAGATGAAATAGTCCAAGTATAGCCGATATAAGACTCTAACACGCCCCCTCTAAGGGAGGATAGACAAATACAGATTGTCCCAAAGATAGACGTTAATACGTGAAACCCCATCAGATTACCCTCTAAAAGAGTTGTTAAGGAGAGAAAGAGGGCTCCAACGTATATATTGAGGGAATGATCCACTAATATAAAACTCTAACACGCCCCCTCCCAAAAGTGGTAGACATTCGCTCTTATACCATATCAGAATATATGAAATTATTCCGTTGAGGAGAGGAGGGTTCCAACATCTACACAGATGAAATGGTCCATCTTTTAAGAGAATGAGACTTATAATCTTAATAAGACGATATACATATACATATACATATACATATACATATACATATACATATACATATACATATACATATACATATACATATACATATACATATACATATACATNCATATACATATACATATACATATACATATACATATACATATACATATACATATACATATACATATACATATACATATACATATACATATGATTTACAGTCTTTCTTACGATTTCATTTGTATATTATGCAGCATACAGAAAGACCCTATAAATAGATCATCGGCTTTAGAGCTTTTGGTTCGTGTGATCAGCCTTTCTTTATATTTATTACTTAGGGGGCCGTTTATCAAAAACTTATCCAGTAAGTGCTTACCGGTACAATTTAACACTATTATGTACTTACCGGGTAGGATTTTAGTCCACCAAAACGACATAGTATACAATAATTTACCGGGTAAAGAGTCGTCGTACTCACTCACCGAGTAAGACTCTTGATCCTTGTCTTGCTCTTACCAAGTAAGATTCTTGCTCCTTACTATATTCATTCGATGAGTTAATGTTACTTGATAGGCGTTTAACCGGATAAGCGTTTGGTAAACGGCCCGTTAGTGGTATTTGATTTTCATTGGTGGGCTGATTGTTGAGTTTCTACAGAATCACCCCTTCATCAAGAAGTTCGAGGACAAGGATATTCATCTTGCCATTCTGGTCAGTTGCTTGGAACCCCCTTTAAGTTTTTCCAAATAAATTACACCAGTTTTATCATCTATACCATAATATTACACTCTTGTTTACTGTATACACTCATGCTCCCCGTATATTGTTATCGTTAGTTCTTGCAATTATGCTACAATAACAACATTGGTTGTTAACTTTGTTAAATATATCTCAATTTTTTGTTCTTTTAGTTTTATATATATTTAAACCAATTCATCTAGAAGAAAATTATATAAATTAAATAATAATATAATTTGTTATTCGATTAACTGATATGGTAAAAAAAATAATCGAAATTTAACTTATTTGGTTAACCGAACTGTTTAACCCGCAATCGTTTTGGTTTGGGTGAGTTATATGATTTTGTTTTTATTTTTATTTTTATATCCTAGGCTCCTAGTCACCTCAGTTTTTGGATCTGCCATTGCTTTGGTTGGTTGGTTACAATTTACACCTTAATGAGACGATGTTTCATCATTAATCTTTGGTTATAGATGTTGCTTGCAATGAATACCATAAAAATTACAGACGTTAATAATTAAATAATCAGTTGTCGTGATTATGCATTTTCGTAGATCGATGATATACTTGTCGCGAATAATCGGTTGTCTCGTCATGCATATTATCACATGTAATAAGGGTGTCTCCACATTCTCGTAAAATGGAGTTCTTCTCATTTGAACCTCCACCTATATATATATATATATATGGGCACGTTCAAATGAAAACAGTGTATTTCTAAAAAATCGTGTAAACCAATTTCGACCAATAGGAAAATTTCATTTTTTTCTAATTAAATTTAATCAATAAGGGTATTTTGGTCATTTACAATATTTTTTATTAAATATGGAAGTTATTAATAAATCTTATTTAAGGAAACGTAATAAAGGAAATTGTATAAATGGTAACATTTAAATATTTAATTATATTATAATATTAAAAATTTGAATTTGATATATTGTTATGAGATTGAATTTGTAAACGGGTCTTGAAGATTGAATTGCATTATGGAATGAAATCGTAAATTATGGTTCAAATTAAAAAAATAATGTTAATGAAACAGGTTTCATGAATGTGAAATTGGTTCATGTTGTAATTGATTCATAAGTAATATGAAATCGTTTCATGGTGAACCATGTTTCAGTGATAGTGTAATTGATCCGTTTAGTAGAAAAAATGGAACATGAAACGGGTACATAATTTATTTGGTTCGTCATGAAATAATTGTATGATGAAATGGGTATATGATGAATCTGCTTCGGGATCATGAAGATTGTAAGAATTAAAGGAAAGAATGCATCAAATCATGAGTGAAATAAAAAAATTAATTTACATAAAACATGTTTCATGAAGGTGAAACTGGGTCATGTTGTAATTGATTCATGAGTAATATGAAATCATTTCATGGTGAACCATGTTTCAGTGATGGTGTAATTGATCCGTTTAGTAGAAAAAATAGAACATGAAACGGGTGCATAATTCATTTGGTTCGTCATGAAATAATTGTATGATGAAACGGGTACATGATGAATCTGCTTCGGGATCTTGAAGATTGTAATCTGCTCCAAAATTTTGAAGATTGTAAGGAGTAAAGAAAATAATGCATTAAATCAAGAGTGAAATAAAAAAATTAATTTACATGAAACAAGTTTCATAAAGGTGAAACTGGTTAATGGCGTAATTGAACAATGAGTGGTGAACTGCTTTCATGGTAAAACTTTTTCAGTGATGGTGTAGGTGATCCATTCAGTAGATGAAATGAAAAATGAAATGAGTGTATAATGTAAGCGGTTCGTCATGAAATAATTGCAAGATGAAAAATAAATTAGTTTCATTAATAATAATAAATGTTAACGTAAAAATAATAAATTAATTTACAAAAAATAGATTAGTTTCATTAATAATATGATACACATGATATGGTTTCCTTGAATAAATGAATATTTGGTTTTATCCTTTTGTCCTTATTGGTATTATAAAATGTATTTTCAATTTTTTTTAATTTTTAATTTCCTTAAATAACATTGATTTAATTTTAACCATTGATAAAAAAAAATGGATGGGTGAGATTAGTTTACACGGTTTACACAAATGGAGGTGGTTTTTATTTGATCGCTCATATATATATATATATATATATATATATAGAGGTTGGTTATTATACAACCCTAGTCATTTGTGCAACCAATACAACCTAATCTCAACCATCCATTTCATTTGATTAATATGTGATTTTATAGAGATATTGATTATTTCCTAATATAAAGTATTAATCATAATTAATGAACCGTATTCATCTTCCATAAATATTTAAATCATAATAAATGAACTCTAATCATTTCCATAAATATTTCAATTTATTGG